TACAAATTTCAGAGATTCACTGTGTTATAGGAAAAATTAACACAGAGACATGAAAACATGATATAGCTACATGAAGTAATTAAACTTCATAAACTAAGTGAATAATCTTACAGAATTCTAGGCAAAAACCACAAGTCACTTGTAATAGGAAGAGGTAAAACTGGGTTCAAACTTAATTCACAGCCATGATCCATGCCAGAGATTATAGAGAATTATTTACAGAGTTCAAAGAAGAAATGAGCGTGAATCAACAATTTTATACCCAACTAAATTTCCACTCATGTATAAAGACAATCAAAGAACACTATCAAACATGCAAAGATTTATCTCATGTCAGGTACATGTAACTTTTTTGAAAAGTTATCTGATGATGAAGTCTAGTCAATTAAGTTATTCCAGAATAAAAAAACTGGGAATTGGGAGAAATATATTTAATCATTTAATATTAAGTTATTTAATATTAAATATATTTTATCTTGAATCCATGAAAAACTAGGACTAAGGCAAAACAATTAGAGATATTACAAATTAGGACCCACATATATGAACAAGGAAGAAAAGTCATCAAGCAAACTGAGAAGAACATCCAAATGGTTATCAGGTCTAGCAAGGGTATCAGAACCTAGGGAGAACAAAGAGGGCATATACCAAAATCGGAGTAGAGTACCTGTGTTGAAGATTGCTTCAGTACAAAGAGTTGGAGGCTCAGGGTAAGGACGATGTTCATGTGAGGTGGTGGCTCAGTGCAGTGTCTGAGCCAGATGAAGAAGGTGTCCGGGCATGAAGATGACCAAGGGACAGTGTCAGAGCCCAGGAAGGGTAAAAAGAGCATCCCTGTGGGAACATAGTATGGCATAGGATAAAAAAGCTTGAGCACATTGAAAGGGGAATCCCCATGGAGAGGTATAAAAAAGTTTTGTGTGGGTTGGAAACTATAGCTCAATTGTAAAGTTATTGTCTAACATGTGCAATGCCTTGTGTTCCATCTTCAACATTGGGGGGAAAAAAGGATTTTGTACTTATTTGCCATTTTTCTGAAAGCATGTTGACTGTCTTTCAAATATGTCTAAACATATCAGATTCCTTGCCCTCCTGCATTTTTTTTTTTCGGTATTGGGGATTGAACCCAGGGCCACTTAACCACTGAGCCACAACCCCAGTTCCTTTTATCTCTTAATCTGAGACAAGGTCTTGCTAACTTGCTTAGGGCCCCACTAAGTTGCTGAGGCTGGCTTTGAACTTGTGATCCTACTGCCTCAGTCTCCCAAGCCACTGTGCCCAGCTCTTCCTCCTCCTTCTTATTCTTCCTCTTTTTTTTAGTTGTGGATGGACATAATACTTTAAAAAAATTTTTTTTTTATATGGTGCTGAGGATCAAACCCAGTGCCTCATGCCTTATAGACAAGCGCTTTGCCACGGAGCTACAACCCCAGTTGTAGCTTCTTTTTAATACATCATTTTGGATATACATTAAGGAACATTGTCATGTTAATTTTTAAAAAATTGTATTATTTATTAGTATTCAGTCTTTTTTCTTTTAAATATATGCATTCTAATGCTATAAATGTGTCACTTTTTAAAAATTTTTTTTGGTTGGCAATATACCTTTATTTTATCTATTAATATGTGGTGCTGAGAATTGAATCCAGTATCTCACACATGCCAGGCAAGCACTCTACCACTGAGCCACAACCCCAGCCCTGTCATGCTAATTTAATAAAGCATTTTAATACCACTTAAAGAATTTGAAGTGAACCTGAG